AAAGTTTATTCCAATGAAAGTCATTTGAAAACTCACTTAAAGACACATTCACAGGAGCAACCGTTTACTTGTATAAACTGTGGGAAATCGTACAAATATAAGTGGCATTTGACAAGACACAACTGTAAAAATCCACCTAAAAGGATATTTCCATCTTGAAACTAAAACAACGGTTCTGTCTTCAAGCTAGATGTGTAGTCCAGTCTTAAAGAAGAATAACATTTCATTGTCGTGTGTAAGGTTCTCGAGTACTTTATTTAACCATTGCAAAAAATACTCCAAAATGTTGTGATTAGATATTGGTTAAGTTGAAGACAATTACAAAATATTGGACATTGAAATGTCAGTTATTTATTGAATTCAGTGAAGGACTGGAACCTGTTCTGTGAAGGGATAGGTCAAATAATATTCCTGACCATTTCTTTATTGTTTTTTCATACTTAAAGTAAGGATAGACAGGAAAGTTTGAAACAACTTCGAATTATTTTTGGCAGTTTCTGATCTAGATTACTTTGTTTTATTTAGGTGAACACAACCAAACAAAAGATTTAGAAGATGGCCGCCAATTGTTAAAAGAGACAACCTACAAGTCATTCCCGTGTCAATATTGTCACCTTGTGTACTCGCAGGCAGAAGATTTGAAATCACACGAGCGTTCTCACAATATTGGTACTGATGTCTGGTGCTGTCGTGTCTGTAAAACCGTCTGTCAGACTGCTGAGCAACTCAAAGTGCATCTGATACAAGTTCATAACAATGCATTCAAGCATTTCTGCTTTGAATGTGGAAGGGCTTTCAAGTCATACTCCAGTTTTAATTCCCACAATAGACTGTTTCACCGAGCGGATATTGATTGTCTAGTTTGTAGTATGTGCTGCAAAGTCTACTCCAATAAAAGCCATCTGGAAATGCACTTGAAGTCCCATTCTCAGGAACAACCCTTTGCTTGTGTGCACTGTGGAAAGGCGTACAAGTCTAAGTCCTACCTGAGAACCCACAACTGTAAAGCCATATCAACGTTCTGTTCTGATGCATGAAGAATGGACATTGAGATTGGATATCTGTTGTTTGTAAATATATTGACTAACTTGACCTTTGATGAAAGTAAAGCTTAATTAGTAACAGTTGAGTTTCCGGTGATCCATGCATGTCATTTTACACATCAAGGTTGCGATAGCAAAATACAAATTTGGCAGGTTCTGATCCAAATTTATTTGTTTTGTCTAGGTGATCAGTACCAACAGAAAAGTGGGGTGGAGGAAGACGGACAATTTTTTGACTGCAGTTCTTTTCCATGTCGTATTTGCCATCTTGTGTACTCAAAAGCAGAGGACTTGACGTCTCACGAACGCTCCCACAACATCGGTACAGACTTGTGGTGTTGCCGTGTGTGTCTGATGAACTGTCAAAACCTTCAGCATCTGACCAGACACATGGTACAAGCACACACTGACAACTACACCCATTTCTGTTTTGAGTGTGGAAGGGCCTTCAAGTCGTACTCGACTTTCAATGCACATGAGCGAATGCTACATCGTGCTAACAGAAACTGCCCCGTGTGCTCAGTCTGTGGGAAAACCTTTCCTTACGAAAGCCAGCTCCAGATTCATGCAAGGAAACACTCAACGGACCAGCCCTACATATGTGTTTTGTGTGGAAAAACTTATAAACATGAACGCAATCTGAAAGTACATCACTGTACAAATACCTTGGCTAGTTAACTGACTTGAGTTTACCTCATTCTTGATAACTAATATTTTTTAGGGGTAGCCAAGATTTTGCAGGTGTATATGTTGAATGGGATTGAAGCGATTGGTGTTTAGGTGCATCTGCAGATTTAACACTGAAACAGATTGTTGCAGACGATGTCTTAAAACGTACTGAAGCAAATGATGTTTGATTCATAAAAGTACTGGTACTTCTCCATATTCTGCCTGTGACTTTATATGAGACACTGGGATAGGTCGGATCGTATTTCAGTTGGTTTTGTACAAATGTAATCTTGATATTAACCCGTGTAATTTAAATCTTGTCTATGTTAACTAAAAGATAAGGTACCTCTAGTGTAGAGGTCATAATAAATATTGTGGTACAGCATTCATGGTTTGATGATAATTATATTTTGCTGCGAAAGAAATATTTTTTTGTTTTAAATAAGCAACTCTGTTTGACTATTGTCACATACTATTGGTAACGTGAACAGAGTAATAATGGCTCTTCTGGTTTTCTACTGTATTGAGAAGCTTTTAAACGCTCCACCATTGGAGATCTGAACATGCATGGAAGCTTTGAAATCTCATTGGTCAATTACCATTAATTATCAGATTAGGTGGCTTTTTGTAAATGCATGCCTTTCTGATATAGAACAATAAACAGCAGTTGGACAGCAAGGCCACAAATTAAGCACATTAAACTAATCACAGGCAGTGTAGCTTTGTAGTACTATTCGCTGCACAGACCTGCCAGTACCGACCGGGAGCCTACTGTGTGTGCTGTATACTTAATAGATTCTACCAACCTTTGCGAGATTTGAAAAGTAAATGATTCAATATATACATAACAGTTTAAAGAATGATATCCCTACCTCTTCGTGGGAAATATTCATAAACAATTTGTTTGTCTCATTTAGGTGACCACAACAATCCCCAAAGTGGCTGGGAGGACGGAAAATCATTTGTGACACAGATGATAGGCTGCAGTTATTTCCCTTGTCCTACTTGCAACATTGCATACTCAAATCAAGATGATTTGACATCACATGATCGTATTCACCGAAGTGTGGCCGAGTGGCACTGTCGCGTGTGTTGGTTGGACTGTCAGACCATCATGCAGCTCCAACAGCACCTGGTACAGGTTCACGGTCCCGAGTACAAACACTTCTGTGTGCAGTGTGGACGAGTGTTCAAGTCCTACTCCAGTCTCAGTGCACACAATCGATTGTTCCACAGAAAGGATAATAAACAGTGCCCCACATGTAGCTTCTGTAACAAGATCTACCCCTATGAAAGCCATCTGCAGATTCATTTAAAGAGTCATTCACATGAACAACCCTTCTTTTGCGAGACATGTGGGAAAACTTACAAGTCAAAGTGGCATTTGAAGGCCAATAGATGCAAACCAGCTACAAAATAATCTTTTCCAAGTCATTTCTGTTGTGAACTGGGACAATGATAAGGAATCGGTTGTTTAGAAAATATACATCGGTTTTTACACATAACTCAATGGTGAGGTTCACTGGGATGTTGACTAGGAATCTGTTTGTCATGTGACTTTTTGTTTGTTTGATATTACCCTGTCTTTCTGAGTGTTTTGTTTGATATTACCCTGTGTTTCTGAGTGTGTCATCGGCCAAGTTAACGGTACAAGTGTCGGTAAAAAAGCAAATAAAGGATTGAATGGTAACCTTTTAGTGAATTATTTTGAAACTGAAAAGATAGAAAGAAAAAATCCAGATTTAAGAGCTTTTTTCTCATTTCTGTTTTGTTTAGGTTTACTGTTGTCCGAGAAAAGTGGCATCAGAGATGACAGCCCGTTGTACTCTTCACAGATAGGGGGCACTTCATTCCCCTGTCATATATGCAACGTAGTCTACTCCTCATCGGACGATTTGGCAACACACGAACGTTGTCACAATGTTGGCAACGAGGACTGGCGCTGCCGTGTCTGTTATGAAGACTGCAAAACCGCAATGCAGTTGAAATATCACATGATTCAACTGCATAGTCAGCAGTTCAAGCATATCTGCCACGAATGTGGTCGCGGATTCAAAGGCTACTGGGCGTACAAGTCTCATAATCGAATGTTCCATAGTGAAGCCAATAGTGACTGTCCTGTGTGCAATATATGTGGGAAAGTGTTTCCCTTCAACAGTAAACTGCAAATTCATTTGAGAACACATTCCACTGAACAACCTTTCCAATGTAAAATCTGTGGGAAAACCTATAAATATGAAAATAACCTGAAATTACATCATTGTATAGCTGTGGGAAATTGATTTGAATAGGCAAACTAAGACTTTATATAAAAACAATCGTTAAAAGTACAAGATTTGTCCCAGCAAGTGTGTTGATGGGCAGAATCTAGGTTTGGAATACATAGATAGGGCATTGTGAATCTGACAACACAGTTGAGCTAAGGTTCTAGGTTAATGACCTATGACTAACACAGCAGAGGTGATTTAGATCTTGTGACCTAGGGGTACTTGGTTGAGACAAAGCGGTCAAGGTTTTTGACCTATGACTACATGGCTTAAATAGGGTTGTAGATAGTATGACCCTTGACCACTGTGTTGAGACAAGAGCTCATGGTTATATGATTATCAAAGCGGCAGTAGGCATCTAGGTTTAATGTCACTTGCAGATTGACCTATCCACACTTCCCCTTGTATCTTACAGGGCAGAGGGTGGATGTGTCGACCAACACCACCCCACCAAACGACCAGCAGCTCGACCGTCTCACAGGGCGACACTTTCCCGTCTTCAACGTTTACAAACCCGGCGTTAAGGGCGCCAAAAAGCATCCTTGTAGAGATTGTATTGTTTGTAAGCAAATGGGATTACAAACTGGTAATAGGGCCAGAGTTCAGACAGCCTTTAACTGTCCACAGTGTCGCGTCTCCTTGTGTGTACCAGAGTGCTTTAAAGTCTACCACACACTGCAAAACTATGGGGAAGTACTCCTTGCAAAGGCATCATGTGTCAGGAGTGATTCCAATCTGTGAACATTTGTTTTACCGTCACCTTTTCACTTATTAGTTTTACCCTTGCCTTTATAATGGTGGTGGCCAAACCATGTGTTAGTTGGAACCGACTAATGAAATAGCAATTTGAGAAACATTGAGAGTGTATTTAAGGGTGTTATGAAAGGTTATGAAAGTTGAAGACTTGAAGGCAATTTTCTTGAGTTGGATGTTGTTATTTAGCTTGTAATATGCATGCAGACGACCATTTTAGTATTTGTAATAAAACAATACCTGAAAGTTGATCTCTTGTTTATCTTAGGTATTCAGTTAAACACCAGAACAATGGTTGATGCTGGAGGTGCTTGTACAATGTCCTTAGTGGATAAGTCACGAAAGCCGCACAAGTCGATGGTGGAAACGACGGTTCCCGAATCTTCTGGTAGTGCCTTCAACCAGAGGTGGATGTCCTCGGAAGCTCCAGATAAAACAACCCACCATTATCCCAAATCCAATACAACATACCAATACCATATGTCTGAAATGATGACAGACATTTTGGACAAGACAATGTATACTTGTACAGTATGTGGTATTGTTTACTCCACCCAGCCAGATCTCGAGTCTCACGAGAGAACACACTGTCAGGGTCCCAAGAAATATATGTGTGTGGTCTGTCATTGCGAGTCTGATTCCAAGGAGAACTTACGAAGCCATATGGAGACAAACCATGGTCATGAATACAAATTCTTCTGTTTTGAGTGTGGTAGAGCATTCAAGTCCTACCCTAGCCTCAACAACCACGATCGTTTGTTTCATAGATCTGATGCAGTCTGTCCAGTGTGTGATATCTGTGGCAAAATATTTCCTTTTGAAAGCAAACTGCAGGCTCACATGAAGAAACACTCCCAAGATCGGCCATTTGTGTGCCCTGTGTGTGGAAAAGCTTACAAACACCAGCAGAATCTGAAGGACCACATCACGATCTGTCCTGTACCTTTATAACTGTCTAATGGTCAGCATGCTGTCCAGCCTGTGACCTTCGCCAAGGAAGGACCACATCACGATCTGTCCTATACCTTTATAACTGTCTAATGGTCAACATGCTGTCTAGCCTGTGACCTTCACCAAGGAAGGACCACATCACGATCTGTCCTGTACCTTTATAACTGTCTAATGGTCAGCATGCTGTCTAGCCTGTGACCCTCACCTAGGAAGGACCACATCACGATCTGTCCTATACCTTTATAACTGTTAAATGGTCAACATGCTATCTAGCCTGTGACCCTCACCAAAGAAGGACCACATCACGATCTGTCCTATACCTTTACAACTGTCGAATGGTCAACATGCTGTCTAGCCTGTGACCTTCACCAAGGTCCTTTACTGACTATATATTTAAGTTGTGAAGTAGAATCAATGATGGTAAAGTTGGGTCTTATATTGGTTTTAAGTCAAACAACCCAGGCTCCGAGGCTCCTCCATCTTGATCTGCTGTAACTAGAACTTATGCTGACCCTTCACTTATTTTACTGTCTGTACACTCTTGTATCTAGTAAGTTTGAAACCGCATTCTGAAAAATCCAAAGGTACAGTCTAAAGGCCCTGCTCATGGACAACAATGATAAAAAAATGACCCTTTTGGAAAAATATTAAGCAAGAAATGATTTGACCAATTTGGAAAAAAATAAAGACAAATGATTTAATTTTGAGTATTAACATATTTACCCCTGAATTTTCATAATGAACTATTCCAACCCTTGAATTGGAAGAGTTCAAATGTGTCTTCGGGGTGAACGAGTTAATACGGAGGTACTGCTGACGTGTTTATATTTGTAGATAGTTTTCTATGAGTTGTTATATAAAGTTGATTTGTTGTGTTATATAAAGTTGTTCGATGTGAAATAAATGATGATACTTGAAAGTTGATCTCTTGTTTATCTGTGGTATTCAGTTAAACATGAGAACAATGGCTCAGATGCATGTACATATCTTTTGGGATAAATAGCTACATTCAAATGCCGTCGACTTGTAACTCTCATGTCAGAGTTTGGTTATTTGTAGTAACATCAATCTCTTTTTCTAAAGTATTTTTGGTACAAAATCTCGGCCAACAATTATTTAATTAAGGCTACATGAAGTGCCAAAACATCACTTGAAAAAAAGTGAATAAATAAATAATACAACATTTGGAAGTGAAATGATAATGTTTCCTAGACAATCCTTGTTATGACTGCTGACTTGAGAATAACCAGTATAGCCCAAGTTGTCCACGTTGTTTACCAAGTTGCTAGGGAGTGCATTCAACCAGATGTGGCTGTCCTCAGAAGTACCAAACAAAACAACCCTGCTTTACCTAAAATCTTATACAGTGGGTACGATGATATACCATCATGTGTTGGACAGACAATGTATATATTGACATATTGCAAGGTGGAATCGGTGATGATGAAGCCAGTTCGATAATTGACCTTTATTCCAACCAACCTGACTCATCTGTGTTGATCCTTGTGTCCTTGTTAGCTAGAATAACGGGCATGTTGCTATCACAACAAATACTAGCTGTTTATTGACTGGTTTTCTGTCATTACAGTGTTCTCATTAGTGCTGATCGAGTTATTTACCGAGATGAATGATCTTTTGTGTCACATTCTGATTATTTTCTTCGGTTTCCTGTATTCTAGAATGACTTTGTCAAGATTCACTTGAATTGCATTTCAATACAATATACTGAAGTAATATTCTTGTTATGCTACCTCAAGTAACGTTTAAGGATTACTTAGTCTTTGTCTTCACAAGCGCTGGATTTTTACAGAAACGATAGTTCGCTGAGAATGTGCATGAGTTAAATACATACCAAGGTTTATAGGTCAGATAGCCTTATTTAGCTGTGATTGGTCCATTTCTGATGCTATTTCTTGTCTATCTCAGGTATGAGGAAGGCAGGTCTGTCCATCCAGTCCACCGTTGACCAGGATGAGTTAGTAGCACAGGTACTGGACACAGCGGATTATGACTACCTGTGTCGGATATGCAATATAGTGTATTCCACAAAAGAGGACCTGAAGACTCACAATAAGGTCCATTCTAAAGGACCTGTACAGCACAATTGTGAAGTCTGTCAAACTCAGCTCCCCGATAAAAACCTACTCAAGGAACATCTTCTTAAGTGTCATGGCGATAAATACAAGTTTTTCTGTTTTGAATGCGGCAGGGCATTTAAATCTTACGCCAGTACCAACAATCACGATCGTCTGTTTCATCGGCCAAACACCAACTGCCCTGTTTGTGACCTCTGTGGTAAAATATTCCCGTTTGAGAGTAGTTTGAAAATCCATTACGCAAAGCATTCCCAAGTGAGGCCATTCCTGTGCAAAACCTGTGGCAAATCTTATAAACACAAGCAGAGCCTGAAAGAGCACATGTGTTTGATTTTATCCGGTGTGATCCAGGACCAGTAGAAGGTCAAGAGGTCAAATCAAACTTTAACTTGTGCATTATTTAGCCTTAATACAGAGGTCAAAAGTTGTTTTCCAACCACCCGAGTACAAACTTTATTGTTATTGTGCTTCATAGACTGACTTTATATAGATATAGATATATTCTGTCAGAAGTTTTTGATTGAGAAATTCTGCTGTTCAAATTTTCGAATCATTACAGATTAGGTGTTCTGTGACTGTCATTTCTCTAGTCCCTGTCAAATCTTGTGTGACTGTAATTTCCCTTGTGGGGCTAGTTGTGACGATAGGAAGCCAACATTTCTATAAGCCAGACTGTATGCTGTCTGTACAGTGGTATATACCGTAAAAATAAAAAAAAGTTGGTTGTTGACGAGGCGATGTGTTAGATTTCAGATTATTTAAATGATTTATATATGTACAGACATGGTTTAGTGTTGGTCATCATAAGTGTATGATTCATCTTAACCATTAATGTAGAAACACTGAGCTGTTATACTGTATAACCAATGACATTTTTTTCCTAGTTGATTCAGTCATTAAACATTTAACCCTTCCTGTCTGTGTTGTTGTTTTGTTGGATGTTATTGTTATTAGCCATTAGTGAATAAACAGATTATCAGAATCTGAATGGATGACAGAAGTTTTAAGAAAATTGTTCCTAGGTTAGACCTAGACATACTTTCACTGTCAATCGGACACAAACTCATCACGGATGTAAAATAGATCCTAACTTGATTCTTTGCTGTGCATTTAACCCAGAGTTATTGCTGAACAATCGGACACATCCTTATTGCTTCCTTTTCGTAGGCTGAATGATGCCAGTACCATTACATGTGGACAATTTTTAGCGAATTGGAAGCTAAATTGCAGTAAAAAATGGTTATATTTATATAATTTTACAGGAATTTGATTTAAATCTGTGTTTTTTTCAAATGTTGGCATGTAGCATTTCCGTTTTAAATGCTGAGGATATTAAGTTCCTAAAGGCGACAATCGTGTGGTGTAAGCCTTTTCTTACAAAGTCTTGTCTTATTTCTTGTACAGGTGATCCTAGTGATGGAGGTGCTGTGTTTCTGGACAGCTTGCCCATGGGAGTTGCACCCCTGGCGCGGTGCCCTGCGTGCAGTGTGCTATTTAGCTCCAAAGAAGCTTTAGCAGCACATGAAAAAACACACCAGAGTTGTAAATTCACATGTCACTTGTGCAGCAAAACATTTCCGTTTGAAAGCAATCTGATGCGACATATGCGTTGTCATTCTAGTTTACGTGCATTCAAGTGTGTGACGTGTGGAAAGGCATACAAACATAAACACAAACTCAAGGAACATATTCGTCTCGTACATATGGCCCCTGATGAAGGTCATTCAGAGGCCATGCTCCCACCAAACACGAATAATCAAGGTCAACATTTCGGTCCCTATTCTCAAGAGGAAAATGTGTGTGTAAAAACAGAAGAATTTTCATAAGATTACCACCATATAATGTATCCAACGCAACAGTGGTCTGAACAGGCGGAGGTTTCCTGAATATGTGTGAAAGTGATGGTTCGTTAATTTTCAGCTATAATCTAGTCGTTTGTTTGTCAAAGAAAATTAGTCTGAAATATAAAAAAGAACATCTCTTGTTTTGTGCAGGAAACGATGCGCCTCAAGGATCTTCCTCTACAGGGATGTTGCAGTGTTCAGAATGTGGTGTATACTGTTCTTCAGCGGAGGAATTGCTCAAACACCACAAGACTCACCGAGTTAATCGCTTTGTCTGTGAAATATGCCAGAAAGGTTTCCAGTACGATAGTTTCCTCAAGGTGCACATGCACAGCCATTTGGTGACCCGCCCTTACGGTTGTAAGGCATGTGGCAAGACTTACAAGTGGCAACACCACCTCAAGACACACAAGTGTATTATGCCGGGTGATTTGTCGGGGATGTTCGCAGTGACAAATCCTGTAAATGTGTCCCCACAGACTTCAATACCTCATCCTCACACGTTCCCCACTGTAGTTTCATCCCAAACATCTGGTACTATACCACCCCAAGCGTTTCCTTCAATGGTTCAATCTAAGACCTCTTCTTCAGTACATCCAACCCAGTCATTTCCTTCACTTCCACAGACTTCCTGGGTACAGCCCCAGATGAGCCCTACAAAGGGACCAATCCAAGACACTGGGTTACTGAGCTCAAACTTGTATCAAAAGTGATACTGACCAAGTCCAGTGTAATAGCACAATATTGTGTAAGGAGGTTGTGATATTGTGATTGTATTCAACTGTGGAACAATGTATTGTGATTTATTTGTGTAGATTTAAGTTCAGATATAAGTTAATTATCGAAATTATTGTCCTAGTTTTTGAATCGGTTTTGTTTTTATTTTGTCAGGGAACATGCCGGTAAATATATCGGAAGTTTACTCCGTGCTTCCCTCCTCGGACAGACGGACTTTTAAGTGTGATATCTGCTCCTCCTATTTCTCCACGGATAAGTCCCTGGACAAACATAGAAAGAGCCACGGCACTGAGCGCTTCTCCTGTCACATCTGTCAGAAAAAATTCCACTTCATGAGTTACCTGAAGGCTCATGTGAAGTGTCACTCGGATGCTCGGCCTCACGTGTGTCAGTACTGTGGCAGGTCCTACAAACATTTACACAACCTCAAGGAGCACAGGTGTTCAGGCTGGCAGGTGTAGACAGGTGTGATCAGTAACTCGTATTCAGACAGGTGTTATCAATAACTCATATTCAGACAGGTGTGATCAGTTACTCGTATTCAGACAGGTGTGATCAGTAACTCATATTCAGTCAGATATTATCGGTAACTCATATTCAGTCAGATGTGATCAGTTACTCGTATTCAGACAGGTGATCAGTAACTCGTATACAGACAGATGTGATCAGTAACTCGTATTCAGACAGATGTGATCAGTAACTCGTATTCAGACAGGTGTGATCAGTTACTCGTATTCAGACAGGTGATCAGTAACTCGTATTCAGACAGATGTGATCAGTAACTCATATTCAGACAGATGTGATCAGTAACTCGTATTCAGACAGATGTGATCAGTAACTCGTATTAAGACAGATGTGATCAGTAACTCGTTTTCAGACAGATGTGATCAGTAACTCGTCTTCAGACAGATGTGATCAGTAACTCGTTTTCAGACAGATGTGATCAGTTACTCGTATTCATACAGGTGTGATCAGTAACTCGAATTCAGACAGGTGTGATCAGTAACTCGTATTCAGACAGGTGTGATAGCTGACATGTACTCGCACAGGTATTTAGCCTTCCTTGGCGTAGTTACTGTTACTGTTTTGGCAGTGGTTACCTTGGCCCTTTCACCACTGTAGACCATAATGGACTCATCCATATCAATGCATGGTAGAGTCTACTAAAGTTACATAGGGGTGAAAGGGTTAAGGGTTGTGATGTTTTTTGAAACAGGTGTGATGTATGATGAGCCAAGTGTTATGTGGCAAAAAAAGAGGTGATTTTTTTTTTTTACAAGATGTATGATTGGTATCAAATATTATATAAAATATGATCCAGTGTTTTCTTAACATGGACCAACCAGCATAAACTACATGTACACATAATACACACATGTAGTATACAGACTGGCAGGTATAATCTACGCAAGTTCAAAATAATAAATGTAACAGAAAACAAATTTCCTTAAAAAGATTAAAATTCATTTTTTTGCAAATAGATACGAGTGACTTAGGATAACAGATATGTCCTGCTCAGTTGTAACTCTTGTAATTACTACAAAAATCCACAGAGCACTGATCACCCATAGTTAAAGAGTTATTATTCAAAATTATTAATTAACTACAAAAATATACCTGAGTATGGATCACCATTTTTAGATACCCTGTAATTACTATACAAAAAGCTCATGAGGGTAATGATCTGTCTGCGTCCACCCAAATATTAATCTCCCTTTGTTCGAAGCCTCATAACCACCAAAAAAACTCCAATCCAATAGAGTATTAAATACAGGCCTCAAATTACTACCAAAAAAATAATCTAACGGATTATTGATTTCTCACAGTAAATAGAAACCTCATATATATACTACCTATTTACATGGTAATAAGACACAGTTGAATACCTTTACCGTAATTTCGTAGGTAGTGAATTGTAGGCGATGAAAACGTAACTCGTTGGTTTTCTATGATCACTTCTGTTATTGTCCATTGTTGTACATGATGCATGCTTCGTTGTGTTTGTCTTTGTTCTAAACTTACACAATTTTTTGTTTAATAAAATCAAAAAATTCAAATGATCAGATTTTTTTCTGCCTTTTTTTAGCTGTCTTTGAGTATATTGTACTTTGAGCAAGTATGTTAAAAAGAAATTCTCAAAAGTTTGCCAAAGTAATGCTAAGGTGCTGTCTTGTTTTGTGCAGGCGAAGGGGGAACTCAGCCAACAGGTCAAGGTCAAGATCACAGTGTAGATG